TCAATAGAAATTGTTCTGCGCATACGCAGAACTAAAAAATAAGATGGCGGTGGCAACTGGTTTGGCGATGTGGCCAGCCTGGGTCGCTACTGGTTCTGTGACCCTGGCCAGCATACCACTACTGGTTTGGCTGAACCGGTAGGAACCCACCTCAGATAACTCAGGGTAACTATGACACTCTTATCACTGAGAGCTAGGAATTCACCAAAGCTCTCTTAAGGTCAAAGTTATCATCACAGTTTTTTTTATTTGTGCATCTACACTAGGTTACTAATACCCCCCCCCCAATACTGTACATAACATCTACTTTACACTTACATTCAGATCCCCAAGAGAAGTTTCCAACATCCAAACGCAGAGCCCGGTATTTTTTATTGCCACCACGAACTCTTACTGTATGAATTCTTCTGGGGCCAATCTGCAACAAAGTACCACAGGTTTGTTCAAACACAGCAATTCGTGGAAGTAAAATATTGCCTCAAATGTCCATCCTAAATGGCAACATGGTCAGTGTAACTATGACAACTCCTAGCATTAGTGACTGTGATGAAGACCAGAACAGTCTACACACTCACCTAAGGTGTACTTCTCATCACTCCAGTTGCCTCCACAATCAGAGGAACAGTATCTCCAAACTAAAGCACTATGCAATTATCTCAACATGACCAAAGTTAACTCTGGGTTTAAGTTTACTTCAAATCTTAGCAATAGCAGTTAGACTTATATACCGCTTCATAGGGCTTTCAGCCCTCTCTAAGCGGTTTACAGAGTCAGCATATCGCCCCCACAGTCTGGGTCCTCATTTCACCCACCTCGGAAGGATGGAAGGCTGAGTCAACCTTGAGCCAGTGAGATTTGAACCGCCGAACTGCAGATAGCAGTCAGCTGAAGTGGCCTGCAGTACTGCACTCTAACCACTGCGCCACCTCGGCTTTTATCTTTTAAGGACTACAATAATTTCAAATTAATTAGTGATATGGTGCCCCGATTAAGCATTCCACCACACATATGCAACACGTTGGTATACCTAAAGTAGCTCACATCTGTTTCACACATAAACAAATCATTGTTGACATATAAAAATGGTACTGCAATTAAATTCAGGGGCACACTAATAACAGTTCTTAAAAATATGGGTGCAGAAGCCATACTATTGTTGTATCATAAAGTTTTATTATAGTTATCCTTTACTTGGACATTTTAGAATTAGCAAATTTCTCGTTACCTGCTATTAAGTGTTCTGGATTAGTCCAGAATGAAGAACACTTGAAGTTTCCATGTGTTTTTTCTGCCTGGAAAGGTGGTTTCCCAGTTGGCCTATAGCAATCCACATTATTCAGGAAACTTAAAATACTTTACTCTTAACCAAGTAGCCTGAACTCTAACCCAAACATCTCCACCCCCCCCCCCGAAGCAATTCAGCGAACGTACTTTAGTATTGGCAGGAGGTCGCCCCAACTCATACTTTCTTTTCTTGTGGTAGGGCTTCCGCTTTCCCCCGGTCTTACGGCGTTTGTGCCAATTATCCCTGGAGATACCTGCGTAAAAAGAGAAAAATGGATTAAGAGTGGTCGTTAAAGCTGTCCCTCCACGGCTTGCAGGAGTTCATTCTGCCCAGTGTTACTCAGTTCTCCAAGGTAAGTCTCCGCATGGCACACTCGGCCTTAATGCAGCAGTGGAAAAAAGTTTCATCATTGCAACGTCGGGCAAAGAAACAAAAAAGGGGGCTTTAAGGCGAGAAAACAATTTCGTTCCATGAAGGCCCCTCTCTCCTTAAGAAGAGGTGGCTATACTGCGGCAATACACAGCAAAGGCCGAAGAGGCGTCCGGATCCAAAGCAGGCCGAATGGCAATTGCTACAAAAAACTAACCATAATATCACGCGCATTTAACGTGGTAAACATCCTTCTCCCCGTTACTCGACTGGGAGCTTCGCGGGGATGTCTACGGGGCGGATGGGGACGGATGAAACCACGACGTCCCTCTCCCTCTAACAACTCACCCATCCTGCTCCCAGGCGCCGATTGCAAAAAAGAAGGACGCAAAGCATTTCGGGACGGATTGTTCCCCGGGAAATCTCGCGGCGAAACACTCTCCTCAGTCGACGCGCATTGTCGCGTCATCAAAATGGGACATTTGAAACAGGCGGAAGGAGGTGGCTGGTGGACGTTCGTTGTTGGCGTGACCGGGCTGGACGGTTTTTTTTATGGTTTGTGTGAAAAGAAGCCGATGAGGTGTATTCAGGCTTGTTTTTCGAAGAATTGCTGAAAACGGGGACGAGGCCTGCAAATGTTTTAAATGATTGTTAAGGTTGTTGCTTGGCAGGGATTGTTTTTGAGAGGAAGGTGTTGCTGTTGGTGCTTGGAACCAACTGATAATCTGTTTTCTACACCAAGGGTCTCAATCTTTGGCAATTTTAAGATTTGTGGACTTCAACTCCCAGAATTCATCCGCCAGCTTTGCTGGAGGAGGAATTCTGGGAGTTGAAGTCCACAAGTCTTAAAGTTGCCAAGGTTGGAGACCCGTGTTCTACACGATGTTAAAACGGAACGTATAGATATTGTAAAGGTAAACTAATAACGAATGTAGCTTATGGTGTTAGAGCTACTACACCTGGACTGTCTTCGGGCGGTCGCCGATGGCGGTAAATAAACTGAACTCCATTATCCAGTACAGTACAGGGTAGCCCACAGGATTTTGCGTCTGAGGTCTGATTTATTCAAAACACTAGTCTAGACCATGTCTTGGGAGTGAAATTCATGTTTTCTTCTGCCATTTCACAACAGATGTGGAAGATCTATCTTGCCTCTCAAATAGCCCCTTAATCTAAAATGGCCATTTATAAATATTAATAAACAAGTCATCACTAGGGCATGTCATTAGCGAGTGCAAATGGTTAGTTGCCTTTGTCCAATAGTGAAAAAGCTTAGGACTAGACCTGGGTAGAATTTTCAGTAGGAGACACCAGGTTATTGTGAAGGTTTTTGCTGCAGAATATTTGAACAGCCATTCGTTAGAACCTGTTCATTATTTGGCACGATTACATCCATGGAAATTTATCTTAGATCTCATGACTGGAGCCTATCATATTACTGCAAATAGAAATGCATTTTGCTCTAATTGTGCTTATATTTATGGTATCATGCATGCTTTGTTTAGCCTGATATGCCAATATTCCTCTGAAGTTTATCAATTTTTAATTAATTTTCAACCATTTACGTAACTAGGAACATAATTCAGTTTATACACAAGCACACTGTACAATTTATTTCTCAGATGCTAACCAATCATCAGCATTGCTTTTTACCCTATCCAGGATACAAAGAGTATCTTGTTAATTACAACCTCTGGTAATTTTCATCACAGTATTTCAAAATGAAGAGTCAGTTTATAGAGGGTGCATAGTATTTCATCCACATTTGAGATACTACTTTAAGTTTTGAAGAAGAAAGCAGTTGTATTATTTCAGATCATTTTTGTTTACAGTTGCTGTAGAAAACCTTTTAAAATGTTTCTAGTGATTAAAAATATTCCTAGTCAAGGATACTTTTTCTCTCATATTGGCATATACTTTCAAATATTCAAACAGGATTATTCTCCATTGTAATATCTTTTGTTTGGCGCTGTTCTCGATTCATGTACTGCAATTAAGGTTATCCATAGACAAAGGCATTTTGATATTCTGCTGAAAAATATTCCTCAGAAAGATTCTAAAGTTATATTCTACATGGTTTATGTCACGGAAGTAGTTTATGCATTCCACTTGTTAAAACTTTCAACTACAGGAATGTTTGGAGGGATATGACTAATTACTTTAAGAGCTTTTTATGTATAGTGCTTACTATGCAACCCTTGGACATAGTCCATGGACACTTGAAAGAATACATGAATATAAATGCGTTTATTATCATCTTAGGATACATAATTGTTTACTAATGCAGCAGTCAACATTAAAAAAACTAGTTCAAAGACAATTGCAGAAGAATGTATTCTTTCCAAACCCCATATCCCACTGTAATTTTAACATGCAATTTGAAATACTTGCATCACACAGATGCTTTTTGCCTAGTTGGCAAGGAGTGCTGCATGAAGTTGAGGTATATTGGTTTCTATTATATAGTCAGACTGACTTTACAAATTAAATGCTTTATAGTTTGTTCATCTATTAATCCTAATGAGTGCTAGCTTGGCAAATTTTTATGTTTAGCAAAAACTCCTTTCATGTTCTAAAACAATCAGTGAGCTCTAGTGTCTTGTTCCTTGACCATTAGGAATGTAGTACTTTGGATGCCAGCCATTATATAACCTTATGCTGCTTTATGGATATATGCCAGTACAGTCTTAAGAGTTTTGGCAGACTAAAGTATGGATCTGCTCATAAAAGATCTCTTCTGTGGGAATTTAATTATAGCCAACCTTGAACGATCTTCAAATCTAAGATTTGCACTTGGGTAGTATTTGGATAGAAAATTACCAGGAAATTCAAGGACTATAACCTAGATTAAAAAGTTGAAAAAACATCTTGGAAGAAGGCAAAAGCAATGGCTTCTATATTATTCCAAAAGAATTATACAAACTTGCTTTGAAAGTCATAGAAACCAAACTTCATTTGATGGAAAGCCAATTTTTGAAATGTTCAAATGCAAAAACTTAAAATATTACAAAAACAACACATGCACTATATCTCCATGCTCCTTGTGTACTGTATCAGAAATTAGACATTAGATATATACAAGGATAATCACTGCTGAATTTATCAGTTTTATTGGGTCCTTAATGTGAATATTTTCATTACCAATGAGAAATCCATACTGTTTTATAGATATCCTTTTTTGATATAAACTTATCCAACTTAACGGACTAGAGTGATTTACGTATTCATCAAGAAACAAGCAAATTAGACATCAGATTTTGAAAAATTACTGATATATTAAGACAAATACGAGAAAGTCTTATTTAAGAAATTTAAACTAGTAATTTGAGAAATGACAGACTCAGAATTGGCAAATTGATGCAAAATATTTATTCCAAGTTAGTTATCTTTTGATGCAGTAGTTTTTCCCCTCATACAGACTCAATGTGATAGTCACTTTTTAAAATCTGTAAATAATGTTATCAAAATAATCTTAATCTTTGAAATCCCACAAAAATTTTATATTTTAACAATCCACCCTGAATATCAAGGTTGCAAGAACACAAACAATTCCTATATCCAAATATTTTACAGCTGTACCACCCGCCCCCCAAAAAAGAAAAACCAAACACGCCTGGTTAAGTGATGAAGCTCCCCGAGCCGCCAAAAAATAAAAAAGTTCCATGTTATTAGCATTAATTTAACACAATTAGAACTTCCGTAGCCATTTTGTCATTGACAATGATTGTTTTAGCACATTATTGCCGCACAACATTTTGCAATGTGGACGGCAGTATGAGAAGCTTGTGGTTGCCCAACTTAAGTCTTTTGCATCCTGCTCCTGATGAGATGCCTTGCTCCAGAAGGCAGAATGGATTGTTCTCTATGAAGCACAGAAGGGCAAAATCAAAAAGTAGTAAGCCAATAGCTTTCTTCTTTGGGATATAATTCTTTCCCTTGTGCATGAAGTTTTCAACAATAAAAAACTGAACAGACTTGAGATAGAATAAACTCTGCTTCATTCGAACCCCAAACATTTATGTGCTGAACTACAAACTGAGTTTGCTGGATTGGTTTTATATTATGGATTTTTGGTGCCCAACTTCAGGCATCATCGTCAGAAGTTTCACTGCTACTTGTTTCTGTGTCTGACTCTTCAAACTCTGTCTTAAAAGTGCTTCTCCAGTGGGAGAATAGTTGACTGCTGCCTTGGCCTCGAAGAAATTCACTCTTCCGAAAACCATTTCTTCTTAGCTAGAGAGAAAGAAAAAAAATTTCATACTTATTTCTCCTTTTCAGCCAAAATAAACTCAAAATTTATTGTTGTCAGATGCACCAAAACAAAATTAATTTTGACCTCTTAGTTTATTGTAATCAATGTTTTCAGAGATTTTGACATATAAGTTGCAAAATAAAATGATGCTAAAAGGTAGGCAGTTGACCATACCTGCTCTGACTTTATTTGGAACTCTTTGAGCTCATCCTCTGTGAGGGGAAGGCAATTCTCATCATTCTCAGGATATTCCTGCCATCCCATTGCTTTCAGTAATCTAGCATGGAAAATATAAAAAATAAACAGAAAAAGAATTAAAAGATGTCATTATGGAGGAAAAGATATTTTACTCCTTCTTAAGCACAAGAAAATTCACAGCTATTGTACAATATTGCTCAGTAGGAGAGAAATACTTTAATAAGGCAAGTTAGGCCAAGAATTAAATGAAGCAGTCAAAGAAAAAGTGAGAATGGCGATTAAAAAGTACCACGGCAAGGTTCTCAAACTGTGTGCTGGTAACTCCTTGAGGGTTATGAACAATTGGCTGTAAGGGGGTGGCGTCACCATTTTTTATATTGATCAGCCTTGTATAGGCAGTGGGAGCACTGTCAAAACTTATTTTGGGCTTTGTTCCTCATTTTGTCTGCAAGCTCAAATCGACAACTGCAGGAACACAGAGTCTAAAGACCCTGTGATGTAAATATTAAAATGTATTTATGCCTTGTCAATGAAATAATTCATTCTATTCATGGTGAGGTAGTGTTACAAAAATTCATCAAGTATTTTGGGAAGAGCAGAACCACAAAATTTGAGAAATACTGCATTAAGTATTAAAAACCCCGTTCGTGTCTTCTTTAACTACAATAAAACTATTATTCTAAAATAACTTAAATTACATACTTGAATAATTGTTACATGCTATATTGCACACTTGTTTAACACCTGACAGGAGTGAAGGAATAAAAAGAGAGTTTTTAAAGTATTGTTTTGGTTCTTAAGAGAGTAAACATAAAAAATGATCTACTTTCACCCCATTCCACTTTGTTAAAATGGATTGTGTAGAAGCAGATGGTGAATGTCATCTGCTGTGTCTGATGAAGCAGCTCCTTAGCCAGGTTGAATTGTGCCTCAATTCAAACGTCATGCAGGTTTCAAAACCGAGAAACATATGATTTGGAAATTAAAGACTGTTTCCATGTAATCATTCTTGCCTTATCACTAAGGAGGGGGGTTCCTTTCCCTCTCCTGTGACACATTTCAATAAGAAATGGCAAAAAGGCAATGCGTGCATCAATCACAATACAATAAAAAACTTTTATTGTATTGTACTGGATGACATGGAGTAACGGTCCTATGTCAAGAAACCACATGTTCTTCTTCTAGAGCTGGTCAAACCTCTATTGAATGCTATACATCTCTGATGGGTTAATATTTTCCAGACCAACTGCCTCTTTTCTCACCTGTGTTCTGCTTCTAAAGAGTGAGAAAGATTATCTCCCTCTTCCAATGGCAAAGAAAGCCCATTCTGATGGCAGTTCTCCCCCCAGTTTTCCTTTGGTTCTGCTGTACTGCCACCATCCACCTAGTGAGGAACAAAAGAGTGACCAAAATCATACTCATGTAATTGTTGTTTTAGCATTCATCAATTATATTTTAGAAAGTTCTCTAAATTATACACTCAGGTAGCACAGGTTTTATAAGGCTAATAACCTCCTCAAACTAACAGTTAGAAACAATTGATTATCAAAAAATGTTAATGGCTACTGTTTAATTTAGAATATAATTGCATTAAGACTTTTGATTATAATAAAATTTAATACAAACTAAATTTAAAATGTAGGAGTAAAAAGTGCAAGAAAAAAGAGAAATGTAATATACTAAAAAGAAGCTCACAAGACACTTGCAGCATCCCACAGTAATGAGCACCATTTGCAATCTTCACTGCCAGCTTCATTGCCAAAGTCAATAGGGAAGCCACATTGTGATCACATGATGTTGCACTTAGTCATGTGGGATTCCTTAATGACAGCAGTTCTGTTGCAACTGCAGTCGTAAATTGGTTATGGTATATGATACTGCATTTTACAATCATATTTCTCAGCAATGGAATTACCAGTCCCAATTACCATAGTTAAATGAAGACCATCTGCATGAGTTTATAACACAGAATCAAGAACAAATAGTAACAAACCCCACTATCACTGTAATAATTTGAGGATGCCCATCTGTTAAACTAATGCATGAGCACTGAAGCCTTAAAAAAATCAGTATCTAGAAAAGATAATTTTCTTCAAAAAAAGCTATTTGTTCATTCCAAAAGGTGAAAAAAATGCCAATTATCAAAATGATAAAAATTATGTGTCTATGCTATATACTTTGCATTTCTAGGGTTAAGCATAACTTGATTTATTTTAATTTGTCCTCCAAAATGACAGTTCACATTTGTATAAATTGTATACAACAGTCACAGAAACATGAAGACAAAAACTTGCTTATGCATCACTCCTCATATCTTCAAAAATGTCATTAATATTTGCTACAATTATTTTTTATTTTCCATACTTTATACATGACAGAAGCCAGAGTCAAGATGCATATGCTACTTTCCGCAAGTTTACTAAATAAGCATGCAAGAAATACTAGAAAATTATTTAAAAACTCTTTGACATTATTCTTAAAAAAGACATGGAACCCTCACATCCTCCAGTTTGTTGTTCTCATGACGCTCTGGCAATTCTCCATTCCTGTCGTCCTTCAGAGCTTTTAAGAACTCACTCTTCTTATCTGTGGTGCGGCGCATCAGCTTTGTCAAGCGAGAGGAGTTTATTTCAATAGGAGGGGTGGTACTGGAGGGACTCTGGAAATAGAGTAATAGCATTGTTAAATCTATTATATTCTCCTAGGCGCTGCGGAGTGTCCAAGCACGGTTAACTTCAGCTTGCTGCCCAAGGAACTGAGTTTAAATTTGATTGTAGCTCCTCCTCTTGGTTGCCTCAGAGGCTCAGTTTCAAAAATCTCAGTCGCCCTACAGGACGTCTTTTCTGGGGCTCCAGTCCTTGTGCAGCAAGCTGGACCCCAAATTATAGCTTTATCAGTGATATTGTAGCTCCCTTAGTTTAGGACAGTTAGATTAGGTTGCAGATAGTGTCTTTGCAATTTGGCCTTTCTGTTATCTCCATATGCCTCACATCGCGCAGACAGGCTCCCTGGAGTGCTGGCAGCCCAGACATCACCTTGGGCTGCTTTTAACGTCGGGATCTCACCAAGAGCAACAGTTTCAGTGAGTACTGGGGAGGCAGCCAGGTAGCCAGAGCGCCCCTGAGCCCCTGACAGGAGCGTTAGGCTCCGTGCCAAGCCTGATGACGCTCCAGGTCGCGCGGCGCGAACGGCCGCCATTTTAAAAAGACATTTTGGTGCGCTTTCGCTCCCAGGCTCCAGCCTTTGCCACGCAGTCTGTCTCACCCAGCGGATCGCCGCAGAGAGCCACTGTAAGCCCGGAGCCTTGCGTTGGGTGGCCAAGCAGGCTCTTGCCGTCCTTCTACTCAAGCGGCTGCGGGCAACCTGGACCTAATCAGCCTGCCTACCTGCCATCAGCGCGGATCCACCGATGCGAGGCTGCCCTTTTCAGCCAACTCCAGCCTCCCTCTCCTCTCTTCAACCGTCTAGGCCTCAGAATCCTTCGAAGGCCCAACGCATGGATCAGGTTCTGCCCTACATCAGGCCTGGTCTACTGCCACTGCTAGAATGGAGAAGCAGCTCAGCCCTCGCAGCGTGGAAGAGAGGCAAGGGGAAAAGACCGGGCCCACTCCCAGCGAACGTAGCAGGCCCAATCCATTGGCCAAGGAAGTTGTGGGGGGGGTGTTTCCCCAAGGGAGAATCAGCCAAAGGCAGGCATGGCCTCCCTCCAAGGCTGAAGAAAAGATGGTGCTGCGCCGTCAGAAGGCCCTGGAAAAACAGTTCCAGAAGGCCCAGGCCGCACAGCGCAAGAATCCTGTGGAGTCCTCCCCAAGTGAGATTGGGGATGGGTCTCCCAGAGGTGAATCCCAGCGAGGGGAATCTCCCTTAGGCCCAGGCAGTGAGGACTTTGGGTTCTCCCCCAACCCTCATAGGGCATCCTTGGGATCTCCTACCCATTCCATGGCTGTAGACGCCCTGGCAGACTTGGATTCAGGGGCTGAGGATTCTCCCTCAGAATTGGAGCCCCCTGCCCCTCAGGGTCAGGAATCCATTTTATCTAGGGCCATGGAGTAGGTAGTGGCTCGTGCCATATCCAAAGGCATTTCTGATGGCATGGTACAGTTAGCGGCCAAGTTGCCCTCTGTGGCGTCCAAGCCAGCTGTCAGCCAGGCCAAGGTCCCAAAAGCTCCCGAAGCTAGGGCACCATCCCCCATCCCAACAGGGCTTAGTGAGGTGTCGGACCTAGAGGAGGCTGAGATAGAGGTTCCGGTTCTATCTGACGATGAGAACCCCGCCCCTGAACAGGCCACAGGCTCAGGGCTATTTAATCCAGCCATGTTTAGGGCCCTTCTTACCAAGGCCCGGGCAGTGGGACCCCAGATGGGTCTTCCAGCCCCCGAGGCCAAGCCTCCATCTGACCCAGTCACAGGGGTAACCATAGGTCCCCAGGATCCCGGGGCAGGCCTATTTAAGGAGGTGCCTCCACCCTTGGATCTGGTTCCAGCTCCTCAATTATTTATAGATATTATCCAACGGCAATGGGCCCAGCCAGGGACAATGGCAACCCAAGTGGGACGGACAGGAAACTGTTCACCATGGAGGCCCCACTGGAGGAGCTCCTAAAGCTTCCCCAAGTGGACGACCCTATCATGTCCCTTACCTCCCCCTCTTCCCTTCCCGCGGAGATGCTGGAGGGATTTAAGGCGGAGGACAAGAGGGCGGAATCTGCAGCTCTTAAGACTCACCAGGCTACCGCCTGGGCCATGCGCGCTTCCGCCAGCTCCTCTTATTTTGGCAGGGAAGCCCTCTTCTGGCTCTGCAAATTGCGGGCTGGACTTCCGGTAGGGAACTCCAGATCCAGGCAAGACATCACAAAGATTATTGCCGCCGTGGAGTACTCAGCCAATGTGTCCCTTGCGGCCACAAAATTTTCCTCCAGGGCTCTGGCCTCGAATGTCACCTCGAGGCGCCTGCTGTGGTTCCGCCACTGGCAGGCTGACGTGAAGGCGAAATGGAAGGTGGCTTCCGCTCCCTTCAAGTGGGGTAAGTTATTTGGGGAGGCCTTGGATCCATTTCTGACCGAGACCAAGGACAAGCGTAAAGTGCCCCCCCGCCGGTCACTAACAAACAGGAATGGATGGGCCAGCCCTTCCGTAAAAATTCCTTTCGGAATAACAAGCCCTCCACTTCCTCAGGCGGTTCCAGTCACGCCTACGGTTCCCCTCAGGATCACTCCCAGGATAGGTCCTCGTTTAGGGACAGAGGGAAGCAGCAGGGTTTCCGCAAGCCTTTCCGAGGGGGCTATTCCAACAAGCCCTTTAGAAAATCCAATTGACCGTCACAGGACTCCCCCCATAGGCAGCCGCCTCCAGCTCTATGTCGCCCAGTGGGAGGAAACCACGACAAACAGTTGGGTCAGGAACACGGTCTGCCACGGGTTGACCCTGGAGTTCCTGTCCTTTCCCCTGAGAACCTTCCTCCGTTGCCCTATCCCCAGGTCAGCCCACAAGCTCCAACTCATGAGGGCGGAGATAGAACACCTACTGGAGATAGCAGCCATAGAGGAGGTCCCCAGGGGTCAAGAAGGCAGGGGGTTCTATTCCATCCTCTTCCTGGTCCCCAAGTCATCGGGGGTGGTGAGGGCGATCCTGGACCTCAAGAAGCTGAACAAACGACTTCCGCTGGGAGGGGCTTGCTGATGGGAGCTGGTCGTTACCGCTACGGAATCCTGGTCGCGTTATCTGTCGGATGAGCAATCCATCAGCCATCTGACAGCTTGTTTACCTTTTTCTTCGGGCCAAGAAGATAAGATGAGCTATTGTGCCGGGCAACATGCCAACCAACTCTTGCAGTTCATTTCTGGGAGGGGGTAAGGCCAGCCAAG